CAAGATACCAATGAATAGTGTTTACTTGGATACTTATAGATAGTGTGCCAGTTGACTCACAGAAGAGGAGATATGTAACATGCACAAATTCCATTTCAAGATCATCCCATGTCTCATCACATATGTAATTCGTGGCAACCGAGCTTTCTACTTCTAGCTGGAGTTTGGTATCGTGATGTCGCATAATGGAAACGCCTTCAAGGATTAATTTCTCCGTGGCCAAGACGAAACTATGGAAAGGTGGCACTGATCGACATGAAATCAGGGTCCAGATTCACTCATGCATTCTGATCCGTCCATCCGAGCTCCAGGGTTACTCTGCAACGCCATTGTTGTCTCCCTGAGCCTCTCGCGTGTGATTCACCCCCTTGTACCACCATCGCACCATCTAGTGGGAGCTAGAAACAGAGCCAAAGGAGCTGATCACGCGCCACCTTGGGCTTAAATTCTTGGAAAGTGAGAGGCTTGTCGTCAGCTGTCACAGAATAGAAAGAGTCGGTGCTTTGTCTCAACCCGGATGGTGGAAGCACAAGTAGCACGGCGAGCTGCGAGCTCATATCCCTGCCCACCCTTTCTCACTAGTTTCTCCAGAGCGAGGTTCGGCCAGCCCGAGAGCATCCCCGATTGCTCCCCGGGGCTTCACACACTTATCGAGTCCTATGGGTTCATTTCTGGAAAATACAGGTGGGATGAGACGTGCTACTTTCCAATCGACCATATCCGCTTGAGACCCGTCCTCCAAAGCCAAGTTTCCTTCTTCCATCAATACACTGAGCTGACCAAGGGCACGTCTCACTGCTTCAAGGACAACCCTCTGACGTGCTACGAGGTCGATAAATGTGGAATCGATCCTCAATACGGTCTTGTGGCGTGTTGCGCATCACTGACATCTGGGACATGTCTTGCTTCAACGAGATGTCTAAACAGAGCCAAGTAGAGGATAGAGAATTTACCGGAAGTTAGAGGACTGAATGGGTAGGTCCTTTCCAAGAATCGATAAGCAAAGCACACAAGGTATTATACTGTGATCTAAGGCTCCTTTCCACAATCTACCTTCTCCGCCATATGACTCGTATGGCTCCATTCTGCGAAACCGGAATTATAGAAGGAAACAAGGTCCTGGGCGACTGATATTTGGTTATTTGTGGCACTGACAAGGCCGCCGAGACTGTGTTGCGCGGTGTTGTCACAGGAGGCTTGTTCTCGGGTCTGGGAAGCGTGCTTACGTCTGGGCAGACGAAGCCCCCTTTTCGACCACACATCTGGTGAGACTTCTCTACAGTATCCGAGACCTACAGAGATGTGCTCTCAACCTTAGGGAGATGAGCGCTATTAGGCTTTGCCGTTGTCGGCGGTGTGGTTGAGTTTCAGACCGAAACGCGACCAGATCTGCATCACGCTGCTAGACTGGCCCGGCTGGTTTACGTTTTCACTAACCAGAGGATTTTCTTCTTGCTATCTAGAGTATTGGTAGTAGCGATACTTCGTCTCCCTAGGGAGGTAAGTGGAAGGAAAGTAGCGGAGGCATCCTGGTCAAGTGCTACCACATTGGATTACTTCGTTGATCGCTAGGCAGCCAGAATGATGATAGCATGTGTCTTTGACTTGCCAAGCAGTCCCCAACATCACCCATGTACCCGGAGATTTCAGTCAGTTCCATCATGCCAATGACGACATTGACTTTGTGCTTTGAACCAAGGACGAAGGAATATATCGTTTACTATGTTTTATTCACTATTTTCTCGTCGGGTTGACTTCAATCTTCGCGGTTCCCAGACTTCATCGTGTGCCATTTAAGGGGGCGCGATGTTCTAGAGCTTGCTCTTAATCAGGGCAAGCTTCGTCGCCGGGTCTAGGGTTGGAATCTTATGATCAATGCTGAGGCTATTCAGGTATCCGGGATGTAATTGATCAATACTTGTAGCACCACACATCTTCATCGTTGTTTCCAGTTCATCCCGTAGGACTGAAAGTGAGGTAGCGGCGTGTCAGTTGAAACTGGTACCCCCAGGACGTTGAGAAAAGGGGTAGAGGCGAAACAACAACAAGACACTTACTTTCAATATAGCGGGCGACTCCTTCATGCCCGTAGTTCAGACCGTACAGCTGACCCCGTCCTATCCCCACGGCCTTGACACCAAGACAGAGCGCTTTGAAGACGTCAGTACCACGCGTGATACCCCCGTCGACGTACACCTCCACCGACCGAAACACCTCTGGGCAGTTCCTGTGCATCTCCAGGAGGACCATGACGGACTCGGACGAGGTATCGAGGCTGCGCCCGCCGTGGTTCGACACCACGATGGCGTCCACGCCGGCGCCCGCGGCCAGGATCGCGTCCTCGCAAGTCTGCACCCCTTTGAGAACGACGGGCAGGCCGGGGACGCAGGAGCGCAGCCAGGCGAGGTCCCTCCACGACATGGACGCATCGATATACCCGCCCATGACGCGGCCGATGCCGCCACCCTTGGCGTCGTTCTTCACCCCGACGCCCGACATCCCCGAGCTCAGGCCCTCGTCCGACCGTATCCGCTCGTCTGCCTCCCGCTTGCCGGGGACGGGGGCGTCGATGGTCAGGAAGATGGCCTTGGCGCCGGCGTCGCGAGCCCTCTGGAGGAGCCTCCGAGAGTTCTCACGGTTCTTGTCTACGTAGAGCTGGAAGAACAGGGGGACCTCGAAACCCCCGTCGTCGTCGAGGACGCGGTGTGCGCGCATGGCCGAGGCGATCTCCTCCAGGGGGTAGGAGGCGCTCGTGGACACGCAGTGCGCGATGCCCAGGGCCTTGCAGGCCCGGCTGACGTCCTTCTCGCCCTCCTCATGGACGAGCTTGCTCATCGCCACGGGGCTGCAGAACAGGGGGGCGCGGATGCGGTGGCCGAGCATGGTGGTGCCGAGGTCGACCTTGGAGACGTCCCGGAGCGCACGGGGCCGCAGTCTGATCCTGGAGAAGGTCGTCGCATTGCGTTGCTTCGTATAGAGATCTGTGGCGGCGGAGGACACGAAGGCCCATGCTTTGGGGGAGAAGGTCTTGGAGGCAACGAGTTCGAAGTCGTGCGTTGAGATGAGAGTGTCCAGGCTTGGCTTGGCCGCCTGGCGGTCATCGCTACCAATCGACACCAGAGCCCCTGCCTTTCCTGATACGCTGGTCATGGTAGGAATGAGAGAGTTGAAGCATCCAAGGGCTTGTTACGATGTCTCGAGCTGGGGTGCTCGACCTTTATCAATGCTTCGGGGTATCTTGAGCCGAGCTCCCCGCCCTGAACTCGCATATGCGGGGAGAGAGAACGATTGTAGTCCAGCTGCCACAGCTCATTATCAGGATGCAAGTGAGTCAGGCTACAGTGCCAAAGCGTGGCTTTACCAATCATGACCCAAGTCGTCAAAGGAGATGGGTGGAGGGATGTGGGAGATGGACGGCATCACATGCGAGCTGAACCAGTCAGTCCCGTTTGGATGATGAGAGGAGATTTGCATTTACATGTCTGCAAAACTCACCAGATCAACCCGCGAGAGCTCTCCCAATCAAGAGCTTGGCCCTATCGCTCAAGTTCATTCCTAACGCTAGCTTCCTCCCCGGCTCGCCCATCTTCCCCCACGTTTTCCGCAGGATGTTCACGATCTTGTCCTCATCACAGTCCCCCTTGCTCTCGAAATCGTCAAACTGGTCGTCCAGGAAGACGAGGCAGGCGACGTCCTCAAGCGCCTGGGTCTCCTCGTCCGTGCTCAGCTTCTCCTTGCGGATCAGCGCCGCCACCCGGGCACGCTCCTCCTCCGGGATGGGGGGCTGGATGGCTGGGGAGCCGAGGAGGGCAGCCACTTGCTCGGCCGCCTGGGACTTCTGCTTGGCGCGCCAAGATAGATAACCCGGGCGTGTCTTGGGGAAACTGCTCCGTGGTAGTTCCCACCTTGACACGACGGCATGCGCGTTAGCCTCATGGAATGTAGATCTATATCAACTTCTGTTGTATCGTCGAGTCCTCTTACCTCCGGAAGTGCTGGGCTCGGCATGCGAGCTGCAGAGTAGGAGATGCACCAGGGTACCGGCTGGCCAGCCATCTTGTCATCTCACGGGCATAGTGAAGTTCGTATGGTAGCGTCTTGGGTCCTTCCGGCCCATCAATCAGGTTCGGATCCTCTGCATGAGCCTGGTCGATGAGCTCGACTGCCTTGATGTATTGCGGCTGCAACGAAGGCAACTCGGCGACTTGCTTTGCTGGCTCTGCCATGGTTGACCAGTACTTTTCTGTGTGTCTGGCAAGTGTGGCCGTATTAATGCTTTGGATCTAGAATGAGTGAAGCAAAGAATTTCTGTTGCCTCCTGCGATTAACCGTTGCGACAAGATGGATGTAGCTTGTGAGTGGAATTTGGAAAAGCGACTCGAGTCATCTACAATACAGTGCAAAGTATAATGAGGAGTTGGGTATTTGCACTGTATAACATTCCACTCAACATCCAAGAATTCATCTTATCCAAACCATTGGTTGCCAGAATTGTACATATTGAAGCATATTAGTTTCTTCTAATCAATTAATTCACGTGGCATGCCCTCAACTGACCGCTTGCCTTCAGTCTCTTCCTCGGAACAGCTTTCATCTGATATGTCCCCAAATAGCTTCATCCAATAGCCTGTTAGCAATTACCAACGACGACTAAAACATATAAATGTAGATACAAGTCTGTCAAATCAGCCCTTTCGAATGATTTTTATGTATTTAGCGGGTTCTATGCAGTTACTAGTAATTTCGTAGCCATTGATGAATTGATTTTCCTATTGTCTCTCTGTTCGACAATAGGGAATAGGTGCGTGCCTGAGGTATTCATTCACTCACTCCCTCACTCGCTCCTCACCCTGAACTCGTGAAAGGTATAAATAGGCCCTCATATTTCTCTTCTTTCACTTCTGAGGCAAATTAAACTCTTCGCTCTTCATCTCGCCCAGAGTTGGCAAGGCTTCTCTTTCAATCCCAGCTCTTAGCTATATCAGCCTGAAACAGAGATCATGTCAACTTCAGAGGAAGAGACAACAACCCCGGAGGTTTCTGAGGAGACCTCCGGGAACTCTGGCTCCGGAAGCTCCAAAGTTGAGAGCTCGACAGAAGAGCCGTCAAGCCCTTCCAACGACGGCAGCTCAGCCAGCAACAGCGGCAACGGTTTGTCTTCTAGCAACTCATCAAAAGACAACCCTCATCATTGACAACTTGGGAAGACTCAGATAGCCATCCCAAGAAGGGGAAAATCAAGAGAAAGTCCAAACATCTCAGAGCTCGTCGCAAGGGCAAGAAATCAAGACGCTCCCGAAAGGCTACCGACGAGACCACGACAGAAGAGACAAACACCCCCCAGAACACCGACGAAACCCTCGAAAAGAGCAGCACCGAAGAGCAAGACTCGCCAGCTCCCGAGACCAGCGGCGATGAAAGCCCCGCCGCAGACCCAAATTGGACCATGTCGGAGGATTTTATCCTGCTCAACATGAAGAAAGACGACCGCAAGCCATCGTGGACTGAGATCTCCCAGGCTATGCAAAAGTCCAAGAAAGACCTGAAGGCCCGATGGAAGATTCTACAAGACAAGACGAAGCAGCCCAGCTCCCAAGATGATGACCCATCGGAACCTGAAATCAAACAACAGCCCGAAAGCAAGAGCAAGAAGTCCAAGAAGAGGCGCGGCAGGAGAGTGTCCAAGCACAAACCAAGTGCCCAGGCGGAAGAAACCATCGTTCTATCCGGCGAGGATGCTTCCGCCGAGGCATCACCCGACGACGGTCCTGCTGATCAGAAATCACCTTCCTCCTCATCAGAAGCGGACAGTCTCACCTATGCGGGAAGCGACAAGGAAACACGCCGTCAAAAGAAGTACTTGCAGCGACACATCCGATCCAAGATGTTCCCTCCCGACAAGTACCCGAAAGCAGACGAAACCTTCTCTCAGGCAGACTGCGAGATTTTGGCGTCGGTGGAGAGCCAGTATAAGCGCTCAAAGTGGCTTGAGATGCAAGCCAACTTCTACAATGTGACAGGCAGACTGGTGCCAATCGAATTGATTCGTGCAAGGTGCGAGAGGGAAGAAGGTACTAACTAACAAAGATAATCCTTACGTTGAGCGTAGTGTAAGGTCGGGATATGCTTGAGAGTTAGGTATTACATCGCCTTGGCACACTTCGGCTACGGAAATGGCGTTATTTGGAACGGAACATTTGGAACGGAACATCTGGCTGGGGCGATCGCAGGCTGGTCATGGGTAAGGTAGCGAGGACAACCAGTTGCTGCTTGTGGAAGGTAATCGGATGGATGGGGAACGCGCGAGCAAACGTATATTTAACAGAGAATAATGAGCACCTCCAAGGTGACTGAACTAATTTGATGTCAACAATATGCAACTCCATTGCTCACAAACTATGGCGCTCTCTTTTGATTAATGTACGCCATGAAAAAAATCAGCACTCCGCCTTAGGGCCCTTTGATAACGCCAACAAGCAAAATGCAACATGAAATGACCCTTCCACCCATCTATCCAGATCTCCTCTATAAACAAGGCCCAGCAGAAGCAATGGCGGCGCCGTACCTCTGCAGTGTGGAGCTGGAATGCACCAGTCTCTATGAAAATTAGAATGCACGGGTATCAAAATACACATCAGAAAAGAAGGCGACACCTTTGGCTTCCTGAGATCCACTAGGGCAAGCGCTAGAGATCTCGTCGATGCCAGAACTGTCGGTATATATTACAAGATGTTAACATTCGGTATTCAGCTGAAACTTTGTTTCAGGGTTTTGCCGTTAAGAGGCATTCTTGAGTCAACGAAGTCGGTTGCGTTGACGGAGTTGGCCAAGAAGCTCAAGTGTCGGTGTCCGGCTGAAGCAACCTCGGGATTATCGTCTTTAGAACATCACCATATTCGATGATGTCGTGTCGCTTGTAGTCGGTCTTATCGCTAGATCATGTCTGATACTTCAGCGCTCAGATTGGATTTTCCATTCCTGTTCGGATGCCCTCTTTCGGCACGGAACTCACGCTGGCACCACGGCCCTTGGTACGAGGAGGCCCGCCGGCGGGTAGGCCACGCTTCATCATCTTGCCCAACACTGTGACAAGTTCACACGTGTCACTGAACATATCATCCGTCATTCCCTCCTCGGCCTCATATGCTTCTGCGATGCTAGCCTTGGCCAACTGTCGGCTGGCCTCTTGATCATGAACGCAGTCGTACAGGAAGGCGGCATACTCGGTCTTGACAGAGAGCCGAAGAGAGTGTGAACCCCAGAGCAGAGTCTCCGCGAGCCCGACAGCTTCTTTGAAGTGATGATGCGCTGTGGGTAAATAATCTTTCCACGGTAATAGAGCTGACGGGGGTAACAGTGCCACGTTGACTTCGAATCCAGGGGGTGGGCCAACAGGGCCACCCTCCATGGGATGTGTTGGTTGAATAGATGACGACCGTGACGGAAGGGTGTCCATATCCCTATCCCTTTCTCTTCCTAGCCTTGATGATGGTGCGGCGGCGGCAATCATGTCTGGGGTCAAGCTGGCCATATTCGAGACCGGAGGGTTGTTGTGAAAAAGAACGAAGATATAATTGAAGCTGGCACGGAGCTTGTATGCAAGGACTTTCAGCTCGACGTAGTTCCCAACCATAGGGACGACGTATTGATCGAGCATCACGAGGCCTTCGCGCGAGAGCCATAGAATATGTAAGATGCGCCTCAGAGCAGTTGGGGATGACTGTGTGTCTGGGCGGCGCTCCTTTCTTGCTGCGACAAGCTGCTTAGCCAGGCTCAGAGATAAGCCAAGTATCTTGAAGAGCATGTTTGAAAGTAAAGGATTGTCATGTTCCACAGCCTCAGCGAGCCTGCCCAGGAATTTCTGGTCCACCTCAGAGGATGCCATGCGGTCTAAATCAGCTGGTCTGTTCTCAACCGTAGGTCAAGTTACTCGGTCGAAAACAAGTAGCTTGGAGCGAAGGGCAACAATGGCGGGGTATTCTAGGTTTCAAAAAGAGCTCGAGACCTATGACACGCCTAGAGATGCAAGGATTCAGGACTGCGAACTAAGCCAAATCGCAGCTCGCACAGCCTTGCATATGACGACAGATGAAAGGAATGGAGACGGAATGGGCAACCGGGTCGAACTACTAGGTTGGTTGACAGCTGGCAAGCTATGATTGGGTCCTCAAGCTAGCGGAGGTGGTTGCTGGCAGCGGGAGACGTCAATTGGGAAGATGAGAGAGATAGGAGCGGCCTTCTACTGTGTGCGACATGAGGGCCAAGATCTCAATTTGTCAAGCTTTCCAATATCGGCACATGAATGAGAGGGCGAGGTCTTTCTGATCTCAACAAAACGGAGGTTGCTTGAATACCTCGGCAAGAGCAACCGTTGGAGCTGTGGTGGCAGACTGGACAATAAACAAACAAACCAATTGGACACAGGAGAAGGCAGGCGAGTCTATCAAGACTTGAATGAGTGTAAAGAGCGTGTTGAGAGGCCCGCGCGCATGAGATGATGCTCTGAGGCTGGCTGTGAGAGAGACGCGAGCAGGATGGCGAGTGAGTGGGAAGAGCTAGATGAGGTAGAAGACCCACCACGCGGGCATAGCTCCAGGAGTGTCCGCCGTAGAATATGTAAGGAGACAGATTCGAAATCGTGGGAATGCAGGAGAGCAAGGTTCAACCTTCCAGGAATGATGTATGCGCAATGCAGGCAGCTGGGGCTAGGCGTGGTGTATGTATGTATGTAGGCCTAGGGGGGGATTGGGCGGTGAGGTTGATGGGTCCGTCGAATCGAGAGGCTCGCCGTCTAGCTGGATCGCAAGACTCACTAGCTTATGGGTCGCTGGTTGGGCTCCAGATCTGGGGGGCGAGGTGAAGAGCGATAGAGCAGACCGCAGGATCTGCGCGTGCATCCAAGATGTCAGGCGAAACGCATGCCATCCACACACGCACGATGTGAAGAATTGGCCGCCCCCTTGCCAACCAAACAGCCCAGAGCCAGAACCAGGGTCGTCGCGAGGCCCACGGGATTCAATGGGTGTCCAATTAGCCCAGGAAAGAGCCCAATCCGGCCAAGAGGCAATTGACAGACCACTGAGGGTCGCGAGGAGAGATGCTGTGTGACTGGCGGTTGCTGCACGATGACTTGTCCGCTAGGGCGAGGATGGCAGAGGATGGGAAACAGTGAGCGCTTCTAGATGGGGGTTGGGTTGCGATCGCATCGCGGCACGCGTCCAGCACCTGGCCAGGTACCGCACCGTCTAATTATGTACAGGCAAGGCAGGCGTGCGCTTTGGCGAGCGAAATCAATTTGCTGCCACTACCCAAGTTCGTAAGGAAAGCCGGGCTAAGGTCGCCTGTGTGGAGATAGACAGCCTTGGATGAACCAGGGTCTGGCACCTTGCGCTGCATGATTACGGGAGCTGGTCAGGGTGAGGTGGCAGGGTGAGCTGAACGCCAGCAGGGTCTAGGATACTAAGAAAAGCAAGCATAATTGATACCTTGGCGCGCGCAGGAGGGCGCATGTATGCTGGGCGTTCGCAGACGAGAGCGGACTGAGCACACTCGCACCAGGGCCAGCGAGTGGGTTGGTGGGAAGAGAATCAGCCTCCGTGATTCTCCCTGCCTGAGGCTGGTACATGTAGTTCGATTCTGGCAGATCGGCGCGTCCAGTCAGTCCCCTGCGCCTGCCCTCTGCAGGCAGCTTCCGTTATTACTAACCCCCAGCCCAGCGCACCTTCCGATCCCCAAATTTCAGGCCACAGACATACAGTATGGATGTGGTCGGAGTAGTATTCATGTAGCTTCTCTCCTATTATTAGCGGGCAGGTACATTACATCACACGCCCGGCCCTACTTCCTCGTGTTTAATTGGCCTCGGCCAGCACCGTGTGTCGAAAGAAGCAATGTTTCTTTCCCTCTTGGTCGTCCACTCTTTCCCCGACTGGCCCGCGATCCATGTGTTCCTGTCAAAGCTCAAACTCCAACCACTCTCTCTCTATATGACATGACATTGAGACTCTTACCTCTGTTAATGCCGACGGGCGGCTGTAGCAGGTGTCAGCGCCCAGCACCTTCAAGCCTGCAACATAATGTACCCAATATAACAGAGCCGTGTAATTGGACAACCAGCTCTCATCTCGACTGGCGTCCAAACCACAGAGCACCGTCGCATCGAGCCTTGGTCATATGCACGACGGGGCCAACAACAGAGCCCAGATGCGACTCCAGAAGCTCCGGGCATGAATCCAGCGAAATAAACCTCAGTCTCAGCCTTGGGCAGTACCACGTCAAGCTTACTCCCGAACAGACACATCACCCCACCCACCCCTTCCACGTCCTCTCGATCAATAGAAATCGCCGTTGGACGTTGGCAAACTCGATGTAAGTCTGGGTCGCGATAGGGCAAAAAGGTCGCACGAGCTGGCCGCTGCTGTCATCATTCCGCCCCTCCAGCCGGAATCCAGCCAGCGAATGGGCCGCTCCATGTCACTCCCCAGCCTCCCGTTTTTTTTCTTTTCCCAAGTTGGCTGGCACGCGTCTCCGGCCTCCGTTGGTCCTCCCGGCCGCCTCAACTGCGGCCAGGCCTAAACTACTGCAATGATTTGTTTGTTTGGTTTTTTCCCACCTTTCGCCCAACTAATGGAACTAGGCTGTGGTGAAGGGCAAATAGCATCCGGCCAAGTCCTCCCCAAGGGGCTTGGCGGCGCAAAGCGTCCCAGCTGGAGAAATGGAGAAGCGAAGACGCGAACGGATCATTGGAAGGTGAAGAGTGCACTTCTGGCGGCTTGCGAACGGGCCTCTCTCTTACACGTCAGGACGCGCACGCGCGCGTGGATGTGTATGGATCGCCGCCCCTGAGAGAAGAGTCGACGTTGTAGCCCGGTTGCCCCATTTCCATGCGCACCTAGACACGTTTGTGCCGGCCGTCCTTGCATGATGTCTCACATCTCACTCTCGTCCAAGACATTCCTGTCTGAGACCTTGCCCGAAGCGTCCCGCGAGCCTGCGAATATGCGTGAGTGCGCAGTTGCAAAGTAGTCCACTCCCGAGCACTCGTCATGCTCTTATCCGACCTGCAGAAACCTGTGTAACGTGAGAACGCCTGCCGCCGTAAGAGTCAGCTGAAAGGAATCAGGCCAGTCAGATTAGTGTTTGTCAAAGCGTAGTTACTTTAGCCGAAACAATCGAGGCTATGCCATGACCCATCATCACACTTTCAAGCTGCTTGAGATGCTCTTTTTTCTTGTATATAGTTCCGTTTTGCCCATCTAATAATGATCCCTAATAGATATCGAAATGAGTAGAGGGAGAGGTAAGTATATAAATATTGAGTGTATGTGAGTATGCTTGTATGTATGTATCCAGGATGTTACAGAATAAAAACAAGAGGAATCAAGATCGTCTTTTGCGCCAACGCCGACACCTGCCGCAGCCCATTTGTGCTTCCCGTATATGTAAGCCTTTTTCTCGTAGCCATTTTCTTCGTGTTACCCATAGACCCCAAACAATAGAGAAAATATGCTTTACCGTGTTTCCATGTTTATTTTCCCTCAGCACTCACCATTGACGAATCCATTCCACGTCCTCATTTTCGTGGCATTTCCAACCTTTCGTCGTCTGCTGGCCAGGCTCAGCCAGCCTTCGGCGTCGTCCGGCCCAATGTCGAATCGCTCAGGCCCTCCCACCGTGACCAGTCTGATCGTGTTTCCAAAACAAAAGGCAGCCGACATCAGCCCAACCTTGACCTTGGGTCCCACATCGCAGATGAAAATGCTACCTCGCTCCTCGTCGTCCACGATCAGCTGCGACTCGTGTGTGACTGCTCGGCCTGATGGTGGTGAGCGCGTCCAGGCCTCCCACTGCTTCGGGGAGCTCTTGGCAGCCCCGCGGTTGGCAAACCGGTTCCGCAGACCCTCGCCGGCACCTCCAGCCGCGCCATTCAGGAAGTCGTGGTCGCGCGGCAGCTTGCGTCGTACGCCCACCAGGCTGGCATCGGTCAGGGCCTTGAAGTGGCCTGGATTCCTGACCCGTTTGATCGTTTCCTTGGCCTCGGACCACTCGCAACCTTCGTCGTCCAGCAGACTAGACGAGCTTCGCAGACCAATACAGTCAAAGTCCTCACAGGGGACAAAAGTATGAAGAATGCAATCCCCAGATTCAACTCCAACATACGAAATCGTCGACGTGGTCATTCCCGGCGTTCCGACATACAGCCGCTGGTAGGAATACGCGCATTGTAAAGAACGAGGTCGCATGGCCTCTGTGTGTATAATATGCAGAATTTCCAGGCTTTCTGCGTTGAAGATGAAGATTTTATAAACCGACGCCACGAGAAACACGCCAAGCGCAGGCATGGAAACTATTTGGTGGGGTTTTTGATAACCCACTGAGTTGAGTGGTACTTCTCTCGATTCCCAACCGTTCTTATCACGAGATGCCACATGGACACATCCCCTCCTATGCACGCATCCATACTTGGACGCTGTCACAACGGAGAGTCGCCAGGGCAAAAGATTGGTGCCTACAAGAATAGAAGTGTCAATATTGGTCCCATAGCAAGACAAGCACATATCAGTATCCTCTTACCTTTATTAACGACCGGTTCAGCGCAGATCAGGGGGCTTGGGCAGATCACAAAATCTGCGCTGCCTTCCCCCTGTTCTACGTTGAACTCGATCAATGTACCGTTTTTGCGCACAATTATGAACAAAGGCGGAAGGTTGGATGTCGTTGGAGAGAAGAAAGCTGCCTCGGGCCTATGTCCACCGAGGTCGACAGGTACTGAAGGACCCCAGGTACGCTCTGAAAGGTTGAAGAAGGCGACCCGGTAACGCGACAACAGCGCAAGCCAGCGGGATTCGTCGTCTATTGCTATCGCCAGCACAGGGAACAGCATGCTGCTGCCCACGCTACCCCCTTCGGTCAGGGCGTAGTTGCTCCCAGAGCGCACATCCCACACGCGGATGGAGCGATCGAGTCCGACAGAGACTAGATGCCCATCAGAAGAGGTGGTGATCATCGCAACGTCGAGAGAGTGGCCCTCGGGGAAAGTCTTTACAGAGAGGAGCGGGGTATCGTCGTCATCCCACTCTCCGTCTCGGTTCCCCTCGTCCTCCCAGAGTAGATAACTGATGAAGAGGCGAAGGACGGCAACGACCAGGATGACGATAACTGTAAACTGTGTCATTTCGTGATTGATGAAGTCATAGGCTGCTGGGAGCAAAGCCGGCTCCTTGCTCCGGGGTTTACGGTCGGAACCCTTTTTCACGAAGACGAGCGGCTCATAAACTTGAGCCACGTAGCTGTGCGCGTTCGGTTTGATGATGTTGATAAGCTCCTGGGCAGTCTCATGATCCTGGAGGCGTAGCCATGATGTGGGACTTCGCGCCTGATTGATCCCCTCGAGCATGGTCGACTTGGTGGCATTGGCACTATCCAAATCGCCAAACAATCCAATAGGACTGTCCACCAGCATCTCCTGGTCGAAGAAATGCCATTGGGCAACCAAGACGAAGCCAATCATGACAAAAGTACCCGCAATACGAGTCGACAGAGCGGTCTTGCCCTGGAAGATTTGTTCGAACCAAGGTCTACGACCGTTGGGGTCAGTGGCGTGGTGGTGTTGAGATCGCAAGGCCGCTTTAGCCAGAGTGTCGCTCAACTCTGTGCGGCGAACATCAACACTGAGAACGGACAAAAAGAAAGTAGACATGTAAAAGACATCGAAGAAAATGGCTACTGCCAAAAAGGTGCAAAAGCCAGCCACGCCGGGAGACACCCAGCGAGACAGTATGGCCAGGATTGCAATATTCTGCACTGAGCTCGCAAGGGACACGGGAGCCGTCTCGCCGAAAGCCTCCCCGATCCTGCTGCTTGTGCTATCTTCTGATGGTGTGATGAGAACAGCATTGATTAGTCGAAATATATTTTCCAGGCTCACAGCCAGAATTACGAGAGGATATGCGGCTGATGGGATCCTGGAAAGGTCGACGTTGAACACAGCGCAAACTGTGAAACTTGACATGATTGTTATGATGATTTGAGTGACAACGGTGGTCATAAGTCCAATTTTGGACTTTACCGCACGCATCTTGGAGAGACTCATGAGGAAATAGCCAATGGCGAGACCATATCCAAGAGCAAGGGTCAGAGTATCTTCCAACGATATTGGCCGAAACTGAAACTCATATAAGCGGTTACTAGAGATGCGACCATCGGACGGATACACATCCCAGTCATTGGTGACCTGCTCGGCAAGCATGGCAGCCTTTTTCGCCCATTGCTGGCCGACGGGGGAATCGCGACGGTGAAGGAGGGTGATGACCAATGCATCGGCGGCCACAAGTTGGCGGCTCTCGAACCGCTTTCCACTAAAGACGACTGAATGCCGCAGAGTGACATTGACCGGAGTAGAGAGAGTCTTCTTCTGGTTGACGGTCGCAACCGTATCTGGGTCGAGCAAGATGGTGTCGCGAGTGCAGTTCCAGTACTGCAGCGGGGAGTGGAAGAACCAAGACTGACTGGACTGGTCATTGATAATGTGCAGAGCGTCGCGCTGAGAAGGCGAAAGCTCACGCAGGAACCCCAAGGTGTCGGTATCGACATCGGTGTCCACAGGTCTATCCAGTGCTCGGAGAGGGTTGAAGTCTTTGGTGTCGCCGAGGAGCTCGTCCTGGAGATCCAGCGCTGAGGCGAGGAGTTGCGGATCCAGAACCTCCATGTAAGATCCATGAATCCAGGCAGAGCGCATTATTATATCGGGTTCGGCGACGGCGTTGTAGGGCAGAGGTTGAGCCACGGTCCAGACATGGTGGGGGAGATTGGAGGCGCCATTGATAAAGTCGTTGGTGAATAGAAAGGGAATCGGATAGATGAGCATGGTGGCCACGGCGGCCGATATTAATAAGGTCGTAACAACATGGCGAGCAGCGTAGCGTCCGTATCGCTCAAAGGCAAGACGGAGTGGGTGCGACGGAGAGAGGACAGGCGGTTCCGTAGTACTGAGAGATAGTGGTGGTTAGGAACAGGCTCGAAACATCGGCAGCAACAGGCAGTGGCAGAGGGGCATTGAAGAGAACTCACCCCCGTATCGGATAGAGCAGATACCAAATCATGGGATCGCGTGGTCGAAGCAGCCAGAGGAGGGTGGTCGGTGCGAAGGAGAAAGCATTGGGTCAACCGATCAATATCGAGTCGAGCCTGGCATCCGGGCTAGGAGGAGGACCGTTCTCCGGGTCGCAGCCACAGTTCCAAAGCCCCGGGATTTTGTCGCCAAAACGGTATTTCGCATGCACACGGCAATATTCACCACCGACATGAGTCTGGTCTCGTTTTCACATGACAGATGCTCGGGCGTTGTGTCGGACAGGTTTTCAAGTGCAGGCACACAGCTTCCAAGTCTAAGGCCAGGCCAATACCCCCAGGCAAGAATTTTGGGGTTAAGGCGCGGTGAGGATATAGGAGCCGGCTGCTAAGGGTGGGCGGCAGTGGTACCGTGGACCGCCCGGCCACTAATAGTGCCACCAGGCTGCCTCTGGCGGTACCTGAGCCACCTGCTGGAAATGGCCTGCCCGCCAGGTACCCTCCAGGGAGGCAGGGCCCTTTGCCTGCCAGGATCCCACCTGTACATCATGTACATGGTCCCAGAAGGGACAAACTCCCTCCACCCAGCATGCATACATCACAGCACTGCGGCGTGCTCAACGAGCCATTGATCTAGTTGCTGGCAGCCAAGTGGACGGGAGGAGGGCACTAGCACCAGCGATGCACCCAACCTAACTTCTTTCGCTACGGCCGAGCCCAAGGTGCTGCGACGAGGGCGAGCATCGCAGCACTCTTCCTCACTTGGGATCTACATCGAGGGCCAGCCACATTCCAGCAATCGACTTATACGTGGGATACACATGTCTGGGAGAAAGGTTCTCGAATCAAGCGATCAGCTCCACCTTCCGACAGTCAAAGTACTGGTACCAGCGGCGTCTGCGAGCGCGCACCGTCCGGCGCTGTAGCCCGGTGTACCGAAGCTGCGAAGACCCGACAGCGACTAAGACTTTCCACTACGAGGCTTCCAAGACTTCCACCCCACTGCAGCCATCATATAGACCAGGGCATGGCCATTATGCAGACGCCTGGTCCCGGTATCTCTATGTCGACGCCTTACCTGTTTCTTGGGAATCGTACGTCTGTAATCGTGCCCCGTCCAGTCATAGATGATGGATTGAAGCGAGAGAACAAGGTCGACAGGGAACTTCCGCTTGCTCCCGTCATGGAATATTCGCGGGTCAGCAATCCGGCCCTGTAATTATCGCAACCGATATTATATGTAAGAGCAAACTTTTTTTTCTTCCCTTGACGGGGGTTTGAGCAATTTTCATCGCCCGATTTGCACCGATGAGATGAGATGAGATACTATGTACGTGATGGCCCAAAGAACATGACATACATGAATACGAAGTGATTGCCTGTTGTTGGGGATCTCGTTAAAGATCACATGCTCTCAGAGTCCATGCATGGACTCCAAGCAATAACCTAGTGAGTCTTTCCATGAATATTTCTCGGCTCGACATAACTGCACCGTGTTCCTTCCGTCTTACCGAGTGATTACACAATTGCATTAGCACCACAAAGTTTGTGCTATTCCTTGCTTTTTGCCATGTCTTGTAAGGAGCACTGATCACCAAGGCTTTTCAGCTGTCTCGTTTCTCCAAATGATGCCTGGTTTATCATCCATTTCTGGCAGTTTGCATGGAGATCATTCAGTCCCCAACCCAGGCACAGGCGCCAGATAACAGATCTCCGCCTAGTGAGGAAGCCAATCCTAGCCCCCAACGGCCGCGGCTAGACCACTAACTATAAAATGTGTTGGTTACCGACAAGGGAGAGAAGCAAGGTAAGCAGGAACTGATCGAAGCAATGTCTGGTGGGGAAAAAAACTCGGAACCGACTGGGACTCGGACCCTTGCCTTCTACTGAACCACCGACGTACTCGTAGATGCTGGCGGGGTATGAGAATCAACTCTGCTCAATTAGCTGACGTGTCAATCCAACAATTTCCGGCCAGGTGAGATTTGACTTTATGATTTGGAGAATTTCGTCTTTTCCCGAACTCGCTTCCGAACCGCCTCAGAACCGCCCGGGGTCGAGGCCCTACCGCCTCCCGCGTTCGCCTTCCGGGTTTTCATCGAGAACACTTCTCCATAGGTCCTACATCTGGAAGTCGGACAACATTGTTTCATTGCTTCTTCACCGCCTCGGTTCAGTTGGCTTGGGGAGGAGAGAGGCCCAAGGTCGGTCGGCTTTGGTGTGTCAGCTTTGATGTCAAGACGCCTTCAGCCAGCGATCAAGGCTCTTGAGACGTCCTTTGCCGTGACGGCGAAAAATCTTGACCTCATTCCCTGTCTCGCTCGAGTCTACCGAATGCCGATGAACAACTTGCGTGTAATGTTTTGTTCGAGAAGTGTGCACGGAGTGTGCACAAGTCGTAGGCTAAGAAAGCAACATATGAAAGTGGCAATGTAATTCGCCTCATTTGACATATCATAGACGGCATGGTGAGCAAAAGCAAAAAAGTTATTCTCGGTCTCAAGAATAGAGGTACAGCAAAGACGGCCTTGAGCCACCGTTGTATGATGATAATAATGAACAGGATGCAGAAGAGATTTTATGCTGCACTTTTAATTCTAGTTTCTTTTCATCAATTTTTTTCTCCAACATCTCGTGCGATGGGCACATTATTGGTTGGTGGAAGTCGATCTACACGGAGGCGCCTCCGTGAAAGAACCACCTTTAATTGGCTCATTTGAATTTGAATGCATGAAACTTATCTACCCAGTCAAGCCACTCTCTTTCGTGAAACCGTCTCACAATCTATACAAGAAAGGTACCTGAATAAAGTGCGCGGTCCAAGCGCCAGTGCTGGTGGCACATCCTGAACTGACTTTCATTATTGCAAGCCGCGATTGCCCACAGCTTCAGTCATGCCCCCAAAGACCAGCCAATCGCCTCTTGAAGAGCTCATCTCCTCCTTCAACGAATTGAATGGCGGTGAAGTCGAGGAGACCTATGAGGAACCCAGTCCCCTCGAGTTCATGCGCTATGTCTCCCGCAACACTCCGTTCGTTGTTAGGGGCGCCGCATCAACCTGGAAGGCGACCCAACTATGGGACTCGGCATATCTGAAAACCGTCCTGCAGCAGAATGTCAATGTGGCAGTAACGCCTCACGGGTGTGTCTCCAAACCTCTGTTCCAGTTTCAAAACCGGCTCAATGCTTTTTCACTTCTCCCATTAAACCTCGCTGACCGTCTGTGAGATTACACTCTCTCTAGAAACGCAGACGCTCCTACGTTCTCTCCAGCACATAATGCCACAGTCATATCAAAACCACATGAAGAGGAACAGCCTTTTGACGAATTTCTTGACTATGTAATCAAGCAGGAAACTGACAAGACCTTTTCCTCGGAAGCCGAGGTCAGATATGCCCAGACTCGTAAGCCACACTCGTACCTCCTACATATTGACTGATGTCCACTGTCCACGCTTTACACGAGCCACCTCTCTAACCCTTATGAAAACGTCCCATCCAATTAAGAGAATGACAACTTGCGTAATGAATACCTTGCCCTGTTTTCAGACGCGCCAAAGGACATTCCGTTTGCCCGCATAGCTCTCCAGAAGCCTCCCGAGGCCATCAACATGTGGATTGGGAACTCTCACTCGCAGACCAACTTACACCGCGACCCATTTGAAAACATATACGTCCAGGTCCGAGGAAGAAAGCACTTCGTCCTCCTGCCAGCGCTTTGTCACGCTTGCGTGAATGAGAAGCTCGTCCTCCCAGCCACATACCGTCGCTCAGATCAGGGCTTGACCCTGGAACTGGATGAGGGTGAGGATGACGTGCCGCTGGCAATTTGGGACCCTGATGACCCCGATAAGAATACCACAAAGTATTCGCATCTTGCCAAACCTCTTCTTGTCACATTGAACCCTGGTGATATGCTCTATTTGCCAGCCATGTGGTACGTCTTCATCTACGAGTTCCGGTGACACTGATTAATATCTAACACCGGTGCTCAGGTACCACAAAGTTAAGCAGTCGTGTATGGAAGGCGATGAGGGATTCGTCGCTGCAATCAATTACTGGCAAGTCCCAACTCAAGCCCAACCATGTAGAAAGGTCGATATTCACAGACATAGCTAATCATGCTTCGCCGCTTAGGTATGACATGGAGTTTTCCGGGCCATTCTACCCACTAACAACTTTTGTTCGTAATATTGGTCTCAACTCCGAAACAACGGTATAACTACCAAGCCCAGTCGTAAAATCAATGCGCCATAGTAAGCGATGCTTATGGATATGGATATACAAGAACCCCTCTCTACCTCTTCTTCTTCTGTGCTATCCTCTTCTGAGCCCGTAATTCCTTCTTCATCCTTGGGTCCACAATACGGTAACGACCCTTCACTCCCTGTGGTCTTCCCTTGACACCTCTGTGCACACCCCTGGCAACGACCAGCTTTGCGGGTGCTGCGCGCTTCTTCTTGGCTGCGTTGCTGAGCAGTCTGGAGATGCTGTCCGCCTTCTCCTTCTCCGTCATACCTTGGTCGTTGGCGAGCATGTCGGACTTCTTCTTCAGCTTCTCCAGCTTCTGGGCAGCCTTGAACTTCTTCCTGGCCTTGGCCTCGCGCACCTTCTTGATCGGTCGTGCGTTGTATGCTCTCATCTTCTCTTGGATTGCCCTGGCAGCCTCCTTGGTGATGGGCTTGTGGGGTTTGTCGTGCCTGCCCTCGTCGTCTACGAACCAGTCTGGTAAACCATCGCGGTCTCGGAGTGCATGCTTGTTAAACCCATCGTCAATGGCATCATAAGTAGTTTTCTGGCCAGTCGCAAGCTGATGAGCAAGCGTCATTGCCTCTGCTGTAATGATGTCGATGTCTGGATTCTGTTAGCCATATATTGAGACAGTGATGGGGATCGTTAACATACCAGGCCGTTTATCCCTGCGTCGCTCGCTCTCTTCCTCCCAATCGTCGTCACCACCTTCCACAGCTGCCGTCTTGACAATCTCGAACCCACCCTTGTCGTTGGTCATCTCCACATCGGAATCACTCCAGCCGTCGTCCTGTACCTTGGCCGACTTCTTTTTTTCTTTCTTCAAAGGCTCAGCCGAGGAATCGCTTGTCTTTACCTTCTTCTCGCTCTTCTTCTCACTCTTCTTTTCGCTCTCCGGTTGCTGCCCAGTGAGTCCACCAAGCACGCTATCCATGCCTTTGAAAATATCCTGGTTGAAGAAAGCCGTTGCTTGTCTTGACAGACCACCTTCGCCAGTCGATTGATCCAAGTCCCGCAACAGACCGTTCGAAGCACTAGCCTCGTCATCCGATGAATCTCCATCCTCCTCTTCCAAATCACTTGAGTCGCTGTCATCAGATTTTTCGTCGACAGACACTCCCTCCCACTCTTCATCATTGTGCTCCTCACGAGCCTTCTTCGCCCTGTACTTGGCATCCGCCTCGGATTTGCGCTCTTGGTACTGACTGTACATAGATTCAAGTTCACCTTCAAGACGATCACCATCATCATCACTTTCATCATCGGTTTCTCCAGACGAGCCCAGGCCACTGTCTTTCTCCTTTTTCTGATCAGCAGGCAAGACCGACATACGCCCGCGAGACATACGTTGTAGCGCATTTGATTTGTCGAGCTTCTTGAGAGAGAACATGGCACCTTCGCCGATAGGGCCTGACTCTTCCATACCGATATCCATGGGAGCAACCATGTTCAATTGCATGCGCACAATCTCACGTTGCTTTTTCTCGTTTTCTTTTCGCTTCTCTCTCTTCCTCTTCGCACCCTCCTTGTCCTTGATTGCTTGCAGCTCTTCTTGGATTTTGAGCTCCTCATCCATCGGCGCAATTTCTGCTACTTCTTCGGCCTCCTGAGCAGCTGCGTCCTTTTTGGTGGCAAGACCAAATATCTCTCTGACTTTGAGTCGCCATTTGAGAAGAATTTTGAAGTCCCTTCGTCCCAAGACTTTCAGGTCGTTACAGTATTCCCGGATTTCTGCTGTCGTTTCTGGGAGGCGGTCAAGAGCCGCCAGTGCAACATCCCCATTTGGGGGCTGCACAAAGTTAAGCTTGTTGTACTCTCCCAGAATGGAGATCGGATCGGCAGTCTGGATGAACTCGCTCGCCGAGATTTCCTTGAATTGCAGGTAATCGTCCTCATCGTAACCATCTCGCTTTCTCTTCTTCACTTCAGGGTTGTAGACCTTGGCCTCGTTATTAGGCGTGGCGCCGGCAAGTTCAGCGAAAACCGCTCGCGGGTCCAGGAATCGTGGATCAATGCGTTTGGGTGCCTTGTAGCCACGGCAGACGACGAAAATTTCGGCGGAGACGTTTCGAGACGACGGCGGCTTTGTTGCTTCAACTTTGGTAAAGAGCTGGTTCAGCACCCACAGCAAGGAGTTGTAGTCCTTGGATCTAAAGACTTTTGTCACAAAGGTACCACCCTCAGCCAGGAACTCAGTCGCCAGCTTCAAAGATTGAAGGGCAAGCTCGGCCTGGTTGAATGAATCCTGCACCCACGCAGTACCGACGTTGGGTGCACCATCGTGAAGAACCGTATCTGCTTTCCATGTCTTGAAATGCTGGCGGATAGTCGCACGACACTTATCGGTCGTAATGTCGCTTTGAAACGTGATAACTCTTGGGATGGGCTTGATAGGTGATAAATCGACACCGACAATCAAACTACCCATGGGCATAACCTCGGCGGCAACCTGAGACCATGACTATATCCCTATATGTCAGTGGCATTCGTAGAAAAGTTTTTTAACAATTAGCGACTTACACCAGGCGCAGCGCAAAGATCCAGGAGGACCTTGCTCTGTTCGAGGAAACCATATTTCTTGTTCAATTGAATAAGTTTGAAAGCAGCACGGGCTCGGTAGCCTTTCTCCTTTGCAAGCTTGTACCACTTGTCTAAACGGCCTTTGCCGTGCTTCTTTTGGATCGCCATGGCGACGTTTGAAGAAATCAAGAAAAGCAAAAGGCAAGCCTTCGCTCAGAAAGCGCCTACTCAAAAGTCCCCGCGAGCCCAAAAAATTTCCCCCAAGATAACCTGATAGGCGGTATCACGTGGCGATAACGGCGGGACAAGCCGCTACCTGTCAGCACGCCCACACACCACGTAGCGAACGGTATATTCCATGTACCCACATGGATAAGTTGGACGTTGCGGGCATGATGCCATCTTATTATGCATGACCCATCAATTTCCCGCTGTGTTATATATCACATCACCTCTCTCATAGCAGCACCGCCCGCGACCGAGGCCAACTGATGGCTCCGCGAAACACCACTCGAGCTGCCTGAGTGTTTCAAGAAACATCAATTGCCAAGATGAGCGGCCGAATGCTTTCCGCTGGGCTCCGGCCTGTTTCACGACGCTCAACAGCTACAATCACCCGAAATCTTCATCGATTCCCGGCCGGCGGGTTATTACGGGCTGATGCCGCGATACGGGCAACGAGAAGACGCATGTGGTTTGGGGGGAATGCATTCCACAATGCAGTGACCGTCCGAAATATATCATTCGCTCGCTTCCTGCCAAAGCTAGTGGTCAAGCTGGTCAGGATACCAGCTATGTTTGGCGGTATAGGGCTTGCTGGCTTTGCATGGGTTCAATATCAGACCAACCGTCAGTACCACCACATCACACTGCATCAACCGTTCATTCCTAACCCATATTATAGGGGCTGGCACTTATGCGGTCGAGCTTTTCAACACAACAAAGGATACAATAACGGGCACGGCGACGGGCCTATTTGACGGGGCCAAAGATATTGCTGAACAGACTCGACAAGGATGGGAAGCCACCAAGGAGCAAATCGAAGTACCCGACTGGGTCCAGAAAATACTACGAATACACGAGAACATCGGCACCGGGGGCAACGGATCCGGGCCTGGGGGCGAGGAACCAAAACAGAGCAGGACATCCGCTGCTGTTGCTGCCGGTGCAACTGCTGCTGCATATGGATACGAAAAGTCTGATGAAGAGGATCCACGGGAGACAGCTGAGGCAGCTAAGGATGACCAAATGATGATTCTGACGAAGAAGATGATCGAAATTCGGAGTATCCTTCAAAAAGTCGGTCAATCAAGCACGCTCACACTTCCATCGATCGTGGTCATCGGATCTCAGTCGTCGGGTAAAAGTTCCGTATTGGAAGCCATTGTTGGTCATGAATTCCTTCCCAAGGGTTCAAACATGGTAACCAGAAGACCAATCGAGCTTACTCTAGTCAACACTCCCAAAGGCCAGGAGGAATATGGCGAGTTTCCCGACCTTGGACTGCGACGGATCACAGATTTTTCGTCCATCCAACGCACCCTGACTGAGCTGAATCTTGCTGTCCCTGACAGTGAATGTGTCTCTCACGAACCCATTCACCTCACAGTGTATTCGCCCAATGTTCCAGACTTATCGCTCATCGACCTCCCTGGGTATATTCAAGTGGTCGGCGCGAACCAGCCTCTTGAACTCAAACAAAAGATTGCAGAGCTGTGTGACAAGTACATTCAACCTCCCAATGTCATCCTGGCCATATCAGCAGCCGATGTGGACCTGGCCAACTCAACCGCGTTGCGAGCTTCTAGAAGAGTAGACCCGCGGGGAGAGCGAACCATTGGTGTCATTACAAAAATGGACCTCGTTGATCCCATCCGAGGCGCAGCAATTTTGAATGATAAACAATATGGTCTTCGGCTCGGGTATGTTGGTGTTGTCGCCAAGGCACCATCAACACCTGGGCTTTTCAAGATTGGCCACACCAACTTAATGTCCACCATCACCAAGCAAGAGAATGCATACTTTTCCTCGCATCCTCTTGAGTTTGGCCCTGAGGCAGGAGTCAACGTGGGTACCACCACACTTCGGAAAAAACTGATGAATGTTCTTGAACAAACCATGTCGTCCAGCCTTCAGGGCACCAGCGATGCCATCAAGCAGGAGCTGGAGGAGGCAACATATGAGTTCAAGGTGCAATACAACGACAGGCCTCTATCTGCGGAGTCTTACCTAGCAGAGAGCCTCGATGCCTTTAAGCACTCATTCAAGCAGTTCACGGAAGAATTTGGCCGTCCCCAAATGCACGAGCTGCTCAAAAATGAACTCGACCAGAAGGTTCTCGATCTCCTTGCAGCTAGATATTGGAACAAGCCGATCGAAGACCTATCACCCGCTAAGCCCGACGTTGATAGCATTTACGACTTGCCCAAGGCTGATCCCGATTCCCTTTACTGGCACAGACAGCTGGATGCCTCTACATCGGCACTTACCAAGTTGGGAGTAGGCAGACTGGCCACAACTGTTGTTGCCTCTTCAATCCAGGCACACATTGATAGAATCATCGGACAGTCCACCTTTGCTAATCATCCGTTTGCCCGCGATGCGATTATGGAGGCCACCTCTACGATTCTCAACGAGAGGTATTATAGCACTAGTGATCAGGTCGAGAACTGTATCAAACCCTACAAATTTGAAATCGACGTTGATGAGCGCGAGTGGGGACTGGGTCGTGAACAAGTCGGCAATGTTCTTAAGAAGGAGCTCAAGGACTGTGAGTCTGCTCTTGGATCTCTTGAGTCCGCTGTCGGGGGCAGGAGAAAGTTGAAGGAGGTTATGGGCTTCGTGGACAAGGCGCGCAAGGGAGACGTCATCGTCGAGGGCGACGGACGAAGCGGCGCCGGGGGGTTCAGTGCCGCTCTTCTCGCTCGAGGTAAGTTGGCATTCCGCCATGACCACCATCCAAAGAACACACAGGCTAACAAGAGCATGCAGGACGAGAGGCTGTGTTCCTCCGTGACCGGGCAGACATCATCAAGCTGCGCCTGATGGCCGTCAAGTCCAAGCAATGCGCCGGCATCAACAATAAGTACTACTGCCCCGAGGTATTCCTGAACGCTGCAGCATCGAAGCTGGCTTCTACGGCGGTTCTGTTCCTGAACGTGGAGCTCCTCTCCGAGTTCTATTACAACTTCCCACGCGAGCTGGACCTGCGCCTTGGGCGGCAGCTCGCCCCAAGCGAGGTCGAGAAGTTCGCCCGCGAAGACCCCAGAATCAGACATCATCTTGAGGTCATCCGCCGGAAGGAACTGCTCGAGCTCGTCCTGGAGAAGATGGAGAGCTTGAGGCAGCTTGAGGGGCGGGAACGGGAGCGAAGGGGTGGCGCCAAGTCGAAGCGCGACAGCGAGAAGAGGGGCGGACGATGGGGTCTGTTCTAGAGCATAACGTTGCCAGCAGTGGTTTCTTCACATGAGACATGATAACTCTGGAGTTTTGACGGCGTTGATCCTTTTTATTTTTGTACTCATTATAAACCTGGTTACATTTCCAGTCATCACTAGTCTTGAACGTATGTAGATAGGTATATTGCGTGCGACTGAATGATACCCTACTCTAGCATGTCTGCCTCCGCCCGTATAGTACATCAACGTGCTGCTCTTATATAGAAATCGGGGTATAGGAGAGACAATATACAAGAATGTTCTTTACATGAAGGATTCCCCAGAAGTCAATGACCACGCCCAGTCCATAGTAATATTCAATTCCCAGTGATAACCCAAAGAAATGCGGACGCCAATAATAATTCAAAAAAGAAAAATGGACAGACAAGAAGCAGACCCAAGTCCTATATTTAAGATACGAGGTCCGTGTCCATCTGGAGAGTAACTTCCCAACGCGTGTATCCGCCATGCCCGTATCCTTCGCCCAGGCGGTTCTGAATCAAGGATGAAATTCGGTTCCTCAGCTTGCCAAGCGAGACCTCGTCGTAGCCTCGTGCAACGCTGAGTTTAAGGTTTGCCATGCACAGGCCATAATGGACCTGCCAGAACTGGGCGTTTTCCACTCGCTGAACGCCGGCATCGGACTCGATCTCGCGCAAAATAGAGGAAACGGCATGGTTTCCATCATTGCCGCCGTATGACATTAGGAGCATGAGGCCCTGGGCGATGGCCACGCGAATACCAACTGCGAACATGGCGAAAGAAATGACGGCGCAGATGAGACGGTCGAGCCACGTGTATAGAGCAATCGACATGAGTGGCAGAAGAGCAATGAGTGCCGAAAAGGATAACGTGAGAAAGTGGAAAGGATTAGATAGAATGCTTGGAAGATGAGCCAGGTAAGAGACCCTCATAACCTTGGCTATCCGGGCATGGTTTTTGAGTCCGTATGCTGAGATCAGCGTGCTCACAATAGCCGCCCCTGCGATAATATCAATAGATGAGGCCGACACGTGGCCATGCTCGTGTTCGTGGTGGGCTTCGTGGCTACCGAGGGATTCGAGGAAATGCTTCAAGTTGTGTGACACGAGATCAAACCCCCCGAAGAGCAAGAACACCGACATGGCGAAACCGGTCAGCACTTCCGCTCTCTCAAGACCGAATGGGTGGCGAATGCTGCTTCGGCGCCAAACCTCGAAGTTTCCGAGAACCTCGACAGCGACGCACACAGCGGCGCTCCCGGCATCAAAGAAGACCAGGTGGGATAGAGCAACGGCAGCAAGCGAGCCCTCGGACTTGTAAAAGATGTACATGGCCACAGCCAAGTGGCACAAGCTCCAGTACAGCCGCAGGCGCTGGTCCTTCCGCATACTCTTCCATGCCTCTCTCAATGTTGGGATCGGTAGCGAGGCGGGAAGCACGGGGGGCGGGCGTGGTGGTGGCTCCTGGAAGATCTGATGCTGGGTCGAGATGCTACTATGCTTGTATCTGTGACCACGGCGCTGCCCTATGTTCTGCAGGACGCCAGTATGTTAGCTGCAATGACCAATGCTGGAGCTTCGAGGAGGCATTGGGCGCAGGACGTACCGATTTCACAGGCGTCGTCGATATCACTTGAGTCTGGAAGTTGAAGGGGTTCGGGCCGGGTGTTATGGGGGTAAGAGTTGAGCCATCTTCTTCGGTTGACGACATTGTCGATGAAGGTGCGAGGAAGTCTGAACCAGGGAGGCCAAGCCTTGACGGCTCGCGGGTTTGGTTCTGCCAGGAATGGGAGGGAGCCGAGGAAGACGAGTCGCTGTCTACTTCAATCACAAGAGTGGGTGGGGTGAAATTGGCTGTTGGAGGAGACGAGGTATCCATCTGGAATAATTACGAGCTGGCGCACCAGCCTTCCCGCGTTCTAAAAGCAACGTGCAAGGGAAATGCAAACGCAATGAATTTGAAACTGCGCTACTATCTGGGCTTGGATGGCGACGATGTTCACAAGTCGGTGGGCTCGGGGTGTGTGAACCTGTATGGCCAATTCCTCCTCGATCAAGGAGGTGCGACAGTGTTGTCACGTTTGGCTCCGTGCCGCAGTCTTGGTATCTGATATCGCCAATAATGTATTCTCCGCCAAGTGAAGGCTGGAAGGTCGTGCAGTGCTAATGGCCTAAAATGCAGCGCACTCCAGAGGCCAACTTGGCAAGTTGGGGTTCGTCTACAGTGCAGCTGCGCCTGCTCACACCCACTGGCTACCCCACCTAGGAGCAGGAATCTACTAACCTCTTGCACTCAACTGCTTCCAATACGTACTCCGTTACATTTGATGTCCATTCCCGGCATTAACTCCAGACCTCCATTACGTACCTTAGCGCTGAACAGGTGCCGGAATATATCGTTGTCGAATCTGCTCTCCGGAAAATGGAGGCACTTGGATATTAAGACACGCCAGTTGCGATTCTGGTCAATCGTCAAATTACATCATGTCGAAGCAACCGACGCGCAATTCCACCCCTAGCCTCGAAGCAAGAGACCGATATATGTGGCGTGGCCGATAGGCTCTTCCATCCCGCCGCCGCGAACGATGGACGCTACCGCCAAAGGAGGCGAGCCAAATGGCGGTCATGTTCCGAACTCTCCTTCTCGTAAAAGCCAATCCGCGCATGGCTTACTTTCCAGGATTCCATTCATGAGAATGGCCTCGAGTGAGAATGCCACTCCTGAGCAAGAGAAGACCGCCGCGACCGCCGACAAATATAGTGCCCCAGGGCCAACGCAACGCGCAACGGCGACTGCAACTCAGCAACAGGTTAGAACGAGACGTCGCAAAGGCTCCCTTAGAAAGGTTGCGCTTCTGGGGAGAGGGGCACAGCGCGATAGGAGGGACGCCAGCCCATTGACCATCGAGGTCCCCGACCGCGCGCAGACAGACTTCCATTCGACTGAATCAACACCCAAGGTCGCAGTTAGAGACGACCCCTATGGCGTAGATTTATCCGACCTCACTCCCCGACCCTCAATGGACGGGTTTGCCAGCCGCACAAGCCTCACAAATTCCTCGGTCTCGTCCACCAACAGCGGGGACGTCCGAGACCGAGAAGCCTCAACATTGTATAATTCAACAACAGATGAAGAGGACCTGCCACAAATTCCCCTTGCCTCATCTTCCCTGCGTTCGGGGCTACCTTTACCACCAGCTCCAGACTCGTATTTTGGCAACATAAGCCCATTACAGCAGCGTCGACCGTCATTTCACCAAGCCAAGTCACCTCTGTCTTACTCGGGCCTTGCCTCCACGCCCCTCCAGCCTCCAGATTCCGACTGGGACTACTCGGAGACTGAGTGGTGGGGGTGGCTTGTGTTGTCCGTAACCTGGTTTGTCTTTGTGATTGGAATGGGGTCATGCTTGGGGATCTGGAGTTGGGCATGGGATGTTGGCACAACCCCATATGCCCCTCCAGAGCTCGAGGACGACGAAACACTACCCATTGTGGGATATTATCCAGCCTTGATGATCCTGACCGGCGTCATGGCTTGGGTCTGGGTCGTGGTGGCCTGGGTTGGCATGAAATATTTCCGCCATGCCAAGATCAGTGGCGACTGAGGTGTTACGCAGAAGCTCCGAGCCCTTCGGCTCCGATTGTGTAACTGAGTGGCCTGGGCAACGTACGGCACAGCCTGGACTACTACTTTAAACATGGCAACAGGTCTCGCGTGGTTCTCTGACCTCTTGCCAGTATTGGATCCAGGCTGGATCCCTGCCGATTTAAGAAATCCGGGGAAACAGCACGTCTCCGAGCCAGCAACTAAAAGGCTGAGCCCATTTTCTCTCTGCTTTTAGCGTGGATATACTAACAACATATATACTGGGCATTAATCATTGCAATATGTACATAGCGAATCTTCATTAGAAAGGGGGCCTAAACCAAGTGTGGCTGACTTGCACTGGTTCCCAGCACTACCCTATATACCTTTCATGTATCATCAATCACGCATAGGTTATCGCGATTTCCTTCCGGCATTCGTTGTCTAGAACCGAATATGTCATGAACCTAAAAATAGACCATTACACCACTGGGTGAACTCTTGTTTCCTGTGCGAATTTACAATTCTAATACGTGTTGTGAATTTGTGTGTCTTTAACTCCCTGATCTCAAAAAACAACCACGTCAATAAAATTTCGTCCCAACACGTGAATCCCAGGAGCAATTCAATTCCTGGCAACTCATTTCCCACTTACCGGTATACTCGAAAAGAACATCGACAGGGTGCTGCAAAAAGGAACGTGAAGCCCGACGCAACACCTAAAAAGGAAACCTCCCCCGGACAGGATTGAACTGTCGATCTTCCGATTGCGATTTCTTAACAGTCGGACGCCTTAGCCAGCTGGGCCACAGGGGATAGGATCAGCAGGTTGTACCCGCTGAAGCTGGTTGGCTGACAAACTCAAAATTATCGTTCTATATATACCCCCAGAGATCCAAGTCTCCACTTCATATCTCTGTTTGCTTGCCCTCACATTCGGGCTCTGCAGGGGAAATTTGAAGATACTCTTTCCAGATTCATGGGACAGGCGTCCCAAAGGGTTGATATTTCATCGCAGTTCCTTCCAGTGAGGGGAACTACACACAACCTCATACTGCTTGATACCTACCTTGTCTTGGCAATTGTAGCTGAGCGCTTTGAGGCGGCTTGGCAAGGCGAGTGGGTGGCGAGTTTCCCGCAATGGCAGGGGTTCGAGTAAGCGGTCGATGTACGCTGGATCCCTCTGCTTATGAAACTACTTCATGCCTCCGAACACGAAAGCAAAATAAGATCAGACTCCGGCCGGTTGGATCTAAGGCTGTAGGGGTATGGCCTAGCCAATCAGTATTCTTGGAACAGTTGGAGGCGTCGAACGAAGCAATTTGATGCAGCTCGTAGATGATGGTGAGTATTTATATGGAAGGGCTAGTGAATGGCCTCCTGGATGTCACGAGGAGATTGCTGCAGCATGTAATATCAGCACACAGTTC